CATGGATGGTAGGGACTTACCTACATGAGCCATCACCTGCTGCCTTCTAGTGCTCATTAGCAGGAAGCTGGAATTGGGAGTGGAGCCATAGCCCAAACCCAGGCACTCTGATAGAGGACTGGGCATTCCACCCAGTAGCCTACATATGAGGCCAGACACCTGCCCCCAGTGTAATTCCCATATTCTCTACTTACTGCTTCTACAATTCTCCTTCAGGTCTAGCTTGACAGGATGTACTGTGTGTTTGTTTTTTGGCAAGGGTCAGTGAAGAACGGTTGAGAATCTGGATTTGCCAGGACCTCATCTGAGAATGGACAGTTATCAGAAATTACCACGTATTTAATGCTTAGGCTGACTCATGGAAAAAAAAAGTTGGCGTGGGGTGGGGGACAAGGAACAGAAGGAAAGAATGACGTTTAATTATGGACAAGTACTTGTGTCTCCATTTTGATCCTCTTTAGGTTTGTACACATAGTCAAACATACAAGTGAACCAAGTATTTTTAAATTTTATTTTCAAAAAGCAACAAAACCATTTATATAGGACATGATGAGATCCTAATGCCATGATTAGGACCCAGCTCCTGCAGGCTGCCAGTGTGGAATCCTGGATGGCCCAAAGCTCCTTTCAGAGGGACAGGCAAGCAGAACGGGAGCACTCGCTGATAACCACCACTGTCCCAACAACAGCCATGACCATCAGACTGAAAGAAAGCTCCCTGTAGCTGGGTAGCCCTGCATAAACAGGCAACACAGTTCATCCACATGTGAACGGATGGCTCTCTAACACCAGCATAGCACATACACAACTGTTCTAAGCAGAACTATTTCTGTGTCATCCCACTATAGTGATTCTTACACTATGCTTCTTGGCCACGTGGTCCCTGTGTATTTTCTCCCACTCGTCATCTTCTGCGTCCTGGTCGAATGTCTCAGGATAGGCCGGTAGCTTGTCTTTGGGGCATTCCTCGTAGTAACTCCGGACGTATTTTCCCACAAACCATCCTTTGTATTCTTCGGGCGTTTTGCACTCCAGGCCATTGTATAGGACGTTGTAGTGGTGCTTTAACCAGTAGTAGAGGTAGTGGATGTTGTAGTCACATCTCCAAGGGTTGTCCCCGAGCCACAAGAGTTTCAAAAAATACAAGTCTTCTAATACTCCATAGTCAAAGTTTTGCAGGTTGTTGTTAGATAAATCTAACTCTTCTAAGTGTGTGAGCCCTAAAAAAGCAGCTAGAAAACAAAATATTAAACTAATGAGTCATCGCATTAATGCAGCTGTGTATCCTAAGATAATTAATGCAGGGTGTGTCATAAAAGGTTGAATTCTCCCTGATATTTTTCCCTCTTTCCCTTTTCTCAGAGTATTTTTTAAATATTTATTTACTTATTAATAAAGATTTATTGAATTAAGATTTGTTTATTTCTGTTACACAGAGAGAAGGAGAGGCGCAGAGAGAGAGAGAGATCTGCCATTTGTGGGTTCATGCCCCAGATGGCTGCAACAGCTGGGGCTAGGCTAGGGCACAGCCAGGAGCTGGCAGCTTTTTCTGGTTATCTCATGTGGGTGCAGGGGCCCAAGCACTTGGGCCATCTTCTGCTGCTTTTTCCAGGCCATTAGCAGGGAGCTGGATCGGAAGTGGAGCAGCTGGGACACAAACTGGTGGCCATATGGGATGCCGGTGCTACAGGCTGTGGCTTTAGCCGCTGCACCACAATACCAGCCCCCAGAGCAATTTCTTTGGAAAACTTGTAATTAGAAGTATTTTCTCTTCTCTTTGAAGTGCCTTATTTCCATTTTGAGGATCAGACAGGGTCCTTGTCACCTTTATGACCCATGAATGTCTTTATGAAGGATCTGAGAACCATCTCTTAGAAATGGAGACATCAAGAGAGATGTCTTATCCTTAAGTTTCTGTGAACAGGTAGAAGCCTAATTTGGTAGGGCTTTGCTTGCTGTTGCAAAACTAACTCTTGTCCTGAAGATATCAGGGTACTTCAAAAAGTTGGTGGAACATGGGACTAAAAGATAATTTGATTTTGGGGCCGGGGCTGTGGCGCAGTAGGTAAATCTTCTGCCTGCAGTGCCGGCATCCCATATAGGCGCCAGGTTCTAGTCCCGGTTGCTCCTCTTCCAGTCCAGCTCTCTGTTGTGGCCTGGGAGGGCAGTGGGGGATGGCCCAGGTGCTTGGGCCCCTGCACCCGCATGGGAGACCAAGAAGAAGCACCTGGATCCTGGCTTCGGATCGGCACAACTCCATCCGTAGCAGCAACTTGGGAGTGAACCAATGGAAGGAAGACCTCTCTCTCTTTCTCTCCCTCTCACTGTCTGTAACTCTACCTCTTAAATAAATAAATAAAAATCTTAAAAAAAGATAATTTGATTCTGGTGCAAAGCAAAATTTATATCCATGCATAGTTTTTTGATAATATTCATTTCTCTTAGAATTTTTGAAAACCCTTTGAATGCATGGATTTCAAACATGTTTTGTACCAAAACAAGCCTGTCTCTCAATTCTTAAGTTCTATCAACTTTTGAAGTGCTTATGTTTTTCCCCAGATAAAGGCAATTAGTAGACACAGAGGGTTCCCCTGTGATCAGTTAGGATGGACTAGGGGTAACAATATGCATTGTCAAGTCCTGTGAGGGCTGGTGATCATGTATGCTAAAAACATGTGTGAAATGGGTGGTATCTTCTTGGCTGTCTAAGTGGGCCAAGTTCCCTTTTGTCTTTGCTGTCTCAGGGGTTTGCCTGTGGTTTGTATCACATTCTAGTCCAACATTCAGTCACGAATCAAAATGTTTTCTTTCTCTGCTACCCCTGTGGAGAGGTCTCCTGGACTGGAAAAGATTTTGTTTTTATTTCCCCACCGTATATGTGTCTAAATGTAAAATTCTGAAATGTATTTTTACTCAAACCTTTCTCCTTGATTAGATTGGCTAGGATACAATATTTTATGGGGAAAAATAAGTTTTAAGTTAAGCCCTTAAAAATGTATTTCAGGATCACGGGCATTTTTTTTAATAATACTGGAAAGATGCTGCAAAAAAGAAGCATAAATTAGGAAACTATTTCACTCTTTCAATTGTAAGACTTAAAGTGCATGAGGGAAAAAAGGACAAGAAAAATGTGCCTGGTGATTGATGATTTGACAGCTCCCCAGGATATCCTTGTAAACTCTGAAGATATCTAGAAAACAACCCTCTTTTTTTAGGGGGGTGGGAAGGATTCTATTTCTGTAGCATCCAAAAACCGCGATTTTTACCAGTGTTTTGAAAACATCTGGTTGTGTTTTGGCAAAAAGTGGTAGCTATCAACTTTGGATCCATATGTATTTCATTTTGCTGGAGGGTGGAGAATTAGAGCAAATATCAAAGACACAACACAAAATAAAATAACAAAAAGCCCCTTTCCCTTCTCAGAGCTAAGAAATATACACCAAGATTATCCCTACTTTAGTTGATATGAACAGACCAGATATTACAGAATTTATGGGCCAATCCTGATTTAAAATACTTTGTTTCTGCTTCAGTCATTGGCTTATTACAGTTTTAAACTAGCCTTGTGACATCATATCTGTATTTTGAATTTGGAAAATATGACATGAAATCAATATTATTAATGATTTTCATTTCATCTGTTTTCATACAAAATCCATAATTGCCTGTAAAAAGAATACTTTCCGTTTGATGCAAAGCTAAGACTTGGGGTGAGGGACCAAGGGTTAGCCTCTGTGATAATATTTCTGAAGACCTTGTATTTTTTTTTTCTATTTGCTAACATTCTGAGTCAATGATTTCACAAATTGACTTTTCCTAAAACAATTAGCCCGTCCCATTGAAAGCATGTGTAGACATTCCTAGATTTTATTTTGAAGCTGGTATAGCTGTTACTTAAGCCATACGCATCCAGGCACTTGGGAAAGGTGATTTTCATCTGTTGCTTACAGGAGGTCAACCCCTGAGTAGGTGTCTTCCTTCCACTTCCCACAGCAGTGCCTGGCATCTTACAGACTATTCAGGCCTTATAAAATCCGGCAACTCTCGCTGCCTCTGTGTACTTAGCAGCCTAACTCGTTAGAGTGAGTCTGCGTTGGCAGGGGTTCATCTCAAAGACCCTGACATCTAGAAGGTCTTCTCTTTAAAAACTTCTTTATGTCAGTTTGCCTTGATTAAGTGCTGACTTGCTTTTCGGTTCCAGAAGACCCAGCAAGAAAAAGTGCTTGGTGGTTGTGCAGTGCTCGGTGTCTGTCTGTTAATGGAGAGCATGCCTTCCCGGGCTTGAACTGAACAAGGAGGAGTGACAGGAGGAGGGCACCACTGCACAAACAACAGTTAAACACTCCTCTGTGAGGAGGACGCATTGGGCACACAGTTGAGAGGCCTTCAGGATAGTCCAAGGAGGGAGCAGGAATCCTCACAATTACAGGAATTCCATAATTGTAAAGGAGGGAATTTCAAAATATGTAAAAGAGGGAAACACAGCAGGGGGAGGACATGGGTTTAGGAAAACAAACCCATTTTGCCTTACTATCAACTTCTCTACAGTTTTCTCTCACTTTCTCTAGTTTTCTTTACATAGTATATTTCTTTTTTCTTTTCTTTTTTCTTTTTTTTTTTTTTGACAGGCAGTGTGGACAGTGAGAGAGAGAGACAGAGAGAAAGGTCTTCCTTTTGCCGTTGGTTCACCCTCCAATGGCCGCTGCGGCCGGCGCACCACGCCGATCCAAAGGCAGAAGCCAGGTTCTTCTTCTGGTCTCCCATGGGGTGCAGGGCCCAAGCACCTGGGCCATCCTCCACTGCACACCCAGGCCACAGCAGAGAGCTGGCCTGGAAGAGGGGCAACCGGGACAGAATCCGGTGCCCTGACTGGGAGTAGAGCCTGGTGTGCCGGTGCCGCAAGGCGGAGGATTAGCCTAGTGAGCCGCGGCACCGGCCTTACATAGTATATTTCTATTGTAATGAAAACACTGTTAATGTAGGCATTGTGGCACAGCAGATTTTTTTGTTTAAGATTCATTTATTATATATTTGAAAGGCAGTTACAGAAAATGGGAGGAGGAGAAGGAGAAGGGGAGAGAGAAGAAGAGGGATAAGAGGGGAGAGAGAGGGAGAACGAGTGAGCTTCTGCCTGCTGGTTCATTCCCCAAATGGCTGCAATGGCCAGGGCTATGCCAGGCTGAAGCCAGAAGCCTGGAATGCCATCCAGGTCTCCTACACTGCTTTCCCAAGTACATTAGCAGGGGACTGGATCAGAAATGGATGCCAGCATTGCAGATGGTGGCTTCACCTGAGGCATCAGTATGCTGGCCCCAGGCACAGCAGATTAAGCCACCACTAGGGACGCCCGTGCTGCATATCAGTGCTGGTTCGAGTCCCAGCTCCTCTGCCCTTCTGATCCAGCTCTCTGCTAATTTGCCTGAGAAGCGGCAGATGAGGCCCAAGTAACTGAGCCCTTGCCACCCATGTGGGAGACCTGATGGAGTTCCTGGCTCCTGGCTTCAGTCTGGCCCCACCCCTTCTGTTGCAGGCATTTGGGGGAGTGAACCAGCAGATGCAGATGGAAGATATCTCTAGCATTCTGCCTTTTAAGTAAATATAGAAATCTTTAGAACACTGTTGCACTGCTATTTACTACTTTAATACATTGTATTTATTTTATATATAAGAAAGGGAGAGAGAGAGAGAGAGAGAATCTCCTCCACGGATTCATTCCCTAAATTCCCACTATAGTTGGGGCTGCAACAGGCTAAAGTTGGGATCTGGGAATGCCATCCAGGTCTCCCCACATGGGAAACAGGGACCCAAGTGTCTCAGCCATCACCTGCTGCCTCCCAGGGTGCACAGTGGCAGGAAGCTGGAATCAGGAATACAGTCAGGCCTTGAACTCAGGCACCGTGATAGTCCAAATGATGTCTTAATAGCTGTGCTGAACTCCTGCCTCATGCTGATCCTTTCAATAGTTGGTGAACTACAGTTTTGGACAACAGTCAGAAGGCAGTTAGATGTTTGCCCAGGGACCTTTGGCATGGCATGCTTGTCCTGCAGGTCATTAGTTCTCACGGGGCAAGACAGGGTCTCCACCTCCAGCTTCTTCACCTTGTGGTCTGGCTTTGGGGAAACTGGCTGCCGGTGCCTGGCCTAAACACTAATGTAATGATGGCTCACTTGGGGAAGGGTGGCTGTACTTTCTTTCTTTTTTTTTTTAAGATTTATTTTATTTATTGAAAGGCAAAGCAACAGAGAGAGAGGAAGAGACGACAGAGAAAGAGATCTTCCAGTCCCTGGTTCACTCCTCAAATGTCTGCAATGGCCGGGGCAGGGCCAGGCCGAAACCAGGAATGAGGAACTCCATCCGGGTCTCTCACGTGGATGGCAGGATCCATTTGCTGTTGCTTTTTTTTTTTTTTTTTGGCCAGGCAGAGTTAGACAGTGAGAGAGAGAGAAAGGTCTTCTTTCCGTTGGTTCACTCCCCTAATGGCCGCTACGGCCGGTGCTGCGTTGATCCGAAGCCAGGAGCCGGGTGCTTCCTCCTGGTCTCCCATGCAGGTGCAGGGACCCAAGCACTTGGGCCATCCTCACTGCCTTCCCGGGCCACAGCAGAAAGCTGGACTGGAAGAGGAGCAGCTGGGATTAGTACCCGGCGCCCCGACTGGGACTAGAACCCGGGGTGCCGGCGCCGCAGGTGGAGGATTAGCCAAGTGAGCCGCGTGGCGCCAGCCCATCTGCTGTTGCTTTCCCAGACATGGTAGCAGGAAGCTGGAACAGAAGTGGAGCAGCCAGGACTTGAACCAGCGTTCCAATATGGGAGGTCGGCATTGCAGGCAGTGGCAGGGCCACAGCAGCAGTGCCATCTGTAGTATTCTTATTAATTGTGAAATGACAGTTGCCTTTGACTTCACAATGCAAAGATGCACCCAAGTTTGCACTGTACAAACAGGCTATAGTGTAAGTATTGCCCACTGCTGTTCCTTTGGGAAATTTTAGAAAAATATTATTTCCCAATATTTAAAAAAGATGTTAATTTTAAAGTGTGCCTGTGTGGCTCCACAACATCATTCTCAATTTTCATTTCTTTCTGGTGAAAAATCACTGTGTTCTACCAATAGTACTGCATTACAATTAATAAAAGCAGGAGAAACAACCGTTCCCAAAATATTCATAGCACTACATTGCATTATTGATAGCATTAATTATTTTTTAAGATTTTTCAAACTGGAGTAACAACACGAAGGCACGGCTATTACATATGTTGCAAATCTGATCCACATAACAATAATAATTCTCAGTTCTTTCCAGATTTAGCCAGATTTAGTGTGTTGATTACTTAACTGACCAAGCTCTTTTTTTTTTTTTTTTTTTTTCCCCAGAGGCTTTGCTTAACAAATGGAGAAGAGGTTTGAACGGTGGAAAAACAGTTTATCTTGATTTAGGATTAGGCTTAATTTGCCTGGCTCTGGTTTGAGCACATTTTGTCTTCATTTATGAGCTCAGTGCTTACCAGTTTATTTCAAATGTAAACAAATTGGGGCTTTTGCAAAGAAAGATGCCAAATGTGAATTTCCCTTTAATGATCACTACATGCTTAGTGTATTATTGCCCACTTGCCACATATTCTTATTTTTAAAACTATATTTTACAAAACATTTACTATTTGGGATGATTTGGGAGACACTGCTTAGTATCCCATACTAAGAACATTGTCACAAATGTTTCTCTCAAGTGCCAAGAAGTCCTAATTTAGGTGTTATATGCAATTAAAATTCATACTTTTTATCATTTAGCTTAGTTTAGTTTTTTAAAAATTAAGTTATATTTACTATAAATTTTAAGATAGGGAAAAAAATCACAGAGACTGTATGTGAATGGTTGCCCCAAGGCACTGGGCAGAGTGGGAAAGTCTTAGGGCGTGAAGGGTAGTGTGGACTCCCCATCTCTGCCCAGAAAGGCAGATCAGCCACCTGGGAGAACTCGCCCTAACTGCGGAGATGCTGCAGTTGCGAGTATACCCCTCAGAGTGTCAGCCGAGATGCAGCAGCCAACCTCGCTCTTCCCGGGCCGTGCGTTCAGTACATCTAACTCTGCTCGCTCTGACCGCTCTGGTCAGTTCTTTCACCACCTGTGATGCCGGCCTCTATGAGTCACTTCCCAGGACAAATACCTGTCACCCATTTCACTGAGCGGTACGTACCAGGATCTATGAATTCAATGCCGTTGCTGCTGAGGTTTAATTTCTTTAGCTCATGCACATCTTCAAATTCCTTGGGTCGAAGCTGTTTGATTTTGTTGTATGACAAGTCGAGTTTAACGATGTCGGGAGGGATGTTGTTTGGAACTTTCTTTAGCTCTGGAAAAAATTAATAATATTTAAATTATGGTGCCTTTCTTGCCCCTGTTCTCTTCAATACTGTAAACCTTTATGTTGTTGAAGGACCAGTTGTTAAAGGTAAAGGAGGAAGGCGTATCCCCAAGCCAAAGAAAACTGGTATGAGCAAACCTTAGCATGCGCTCAATTCCATCAAAGCCCAGCACCTCCAGAGCATCACGCCCAAAGGAGGGGCGGTCACTCCTTGCTGGAGGCAGGGTAGCCAATCAGAGGAAGACCAGCAGGTAGTGCAGCTACATTGGCTGAGTCAGTAGATTAAGCTCAGGGACTCAGTCCTGGCCAGCCATTACAAACACCTGGGCAGTTTTTTTTTTTTTTTTTTTTTTTTTTTGTAATAGAAGTTGATGACACACACACACACACAAACACACACCGCAAACTAAACATGCATGTACCCTCCCATGCTCTTCCCACTCCTTTAGGAGTCTTCCTGATTCATGACTGCTTTTTTTGTTTTATCTTCTCCTTAGGCTCCTTTGACAACAAAAAAACTCAAGTCTGTCCACCCTGAAAACAAACACAAAGCTCTTGACCCTGAGGACCTCCAGCTGTTACCGTCCTTCTCCTTTCCCTGGATGCTAAAATCCAAGAAAGTGCAGTCCTTGATTGCTGTGCCTAGTTCCTCGTCACCCGCTCACTCCCCTTAGTCTGGGCTCCACCACTCCCTGACTTTCCCTGCTGTAGCTGGAATTGGGCTCCTCCGGAAGAGCAGTCACAGTAGCAGTACCGCTCCTCTTCCAATAAAACAGAAACAGCCCTAAAAGAGGAAGCCAGGCTATTACTTATTTATTTGAAAGATTTATTTATTTATTTCAAAGTCCCAGTTACAGACAAAGAGAGAGGGAGAGTTCTCTCATCCATTGGTTCATTCCTCAAGTGGCCACAACAGCCAGGGCTGGGCCAAGCCCAAGCCAGGAGCCACGAGCTTTATCCAGGTCTCCCACATGGGTGTCAGGGGCCCAAACACTTGGGCCATCTTCAGCTGCTGTCCCAGGCATACTAACAGTGGAAATGGAGCAGCCAGGACAATAACCGGTGCCCATTTGGCTGGCTTTCCTTGCTATGCCACAACGCTTGCCCCTGATGTATTTATTTTTAAAAACTGCCTTTTTAAACCTGCCTTTTATTGATTTGAGAGGCAGAGACAGAGAGCATGTACTCCCACCTGCTGTTTCACTCCTCAGATGCCTGCAATGGGCTGGGCTGAGTCTGGTGACCTGCTTCTTACCCAAAGACTGCAGCAATACAATAGGATGTTGCCTCTGTGATGAGGTTACAAGACATTGTGACTTTCATCTTGCTACAGCTCTCTCTTTGGCTGGCTTTGATGAAGCAAAATGCCATGTTTGAGAGGCCCACATGGCGAGGAATTAAAGGTGGCCTCAGCCAACAGCCAACAGGGAACTAAGGCCTCAGTCCCATAGTTCTTGAGTGGCTGAATCCTGCCAACAATGCTACCACCTTGAAAGAGAGTCCTTTCCCAGCTGTGCCTTCAGATGAACTCACAGCCCTGAGCGCTCATCAACACTTTGATTGCACCCTTGTGAGAGGTGCGGGGCAAAGGCCCCAGCTGAGACAAAGCTGGTTTTCTGGCCCACAGATAATAAACGTGTGTTGTTTTAAGCTGCTAAATTTTGGAGGTTGTTTGTTGTGTGGCAATAGATGACTAATGCAGGATAAGTAATAAGAGCCCATTAAGTTTGTTGAGTATAATGATTCAGATATATGAGGCCTCTTACAATAATAGTGCTTTGAGAATTTGGGCTGATCTTATTTCTGTCTTCTGACAAGACATTGGTCTGTGTGACCTAGAATTGTGTCTGCCAACACACTGAAAGGAGAAAGGTTTTAAGATTTGAATTTATTATAATGTTGCAACAATGAGAGAATCCTGCATTTAAAAATGCCAAGAATAACTGGAGAGCTGTACTCTTCTTGGGCACTACAAGGAGTTGGAGGTTCTAGCAACATGTAAAAACCAGTTAACTGAAGTTTGAGGACAGATAGAAGAAATAATTTCTGGACATTATGAGTTTGAGTGATTATTGAGAACAGCTGTGGCATCTTTTATTTAGAATGCTTTGAAAAGTAGGATGAGTTGTATTTCCCAATACCCAGGGCCCCACCTCTTCTCACTGTTGCTGCTTTGATCCAAGCCACCATCACCTCTTGTCTGGATTGTTTCCAGAGCGTCATAAGCCTATGCAATTCTGTTAAAAACATATCTCTGCCTGTATCAGTTTTCCAGATGGCGGAATCCTCTAGGGGCTTCGCATCTCACTGTAAATAAAGCCAGAGGTCCTATAAAGCCATTAAGGACTGTAGAACATCCTTGTCCCCAGAGTCAGCGCCTCCGAGGTCTAGGAAGCAGCCTGTTTGTCAGATCTTCTTGAAGCCACATCTGCTGGGCTGGACATGGGGGTGAATGACAGAGCAACCACTGCAGGACATGGTTAGAATGGGTTAACCACAAATCAATGGGTAGAAAACTGTTTAGAAGAACACCGTGAAACCCAGCTTAAGAAATGTGGCAGAACCGTCTATGCTGTAGAAAAGAATGTGAATTGAGAACCAGCTTTGGGGTTGTTAGCAAGAGCCCCGGGTAAAAATAGGACCTACAAGTAATACCAGGAAATGCACACACCAAAGCCTTTGCTAATATGGCTTAGAAAAACATGGAAAAATCATAGCATATGTGTTTCTATGATGAGTAAAAACAAACCTTGAGTTGTTTTACCTTAGAACTTGAATGTGAATTGCAAATATTGATGCCAAGTATGTTTCTCTTTGATAAAGAGTAGATAAATACAGATTTCAAAAAAAAGTCAAAAAAGAAGTAAAAAATTTTATTTATTTGACAGGCAGAGTTAGACAGTGAGAGAGAGAGAGAGAGACAGAGAAAGGTCTTCCTTCTGTTGGTTCACCCCTCAAATGGCCGCCACGGCCCATGCAGCATGCCGATCCGAAGCCAGGAGCCAGGTGCTTCCTCCTGGTCTCCCATGTGGGTGCAGGGGCCCAAGTACTTGGGCCATCCTCCACTGCCCTCCCAGGCCACAGCAGAGAGCTGGACTGGAAGTGGAGCAACCGGAGCTAGAACTCGGGGCCCATATGGGATGCCGGCACCACAGGTGGAGGATTAACCAGGTGAGCCATGGCACCGGCCCCCAGAAGTCAAATTTTATCAATGAACCCATTTCTAGCCCAGGTACCACATGGTATCCATATATCCTTTTTACTGTTACCGCAAATTCTTGGTTAATTCCTAAAGGGACACCATATTTACTGCATTATCACCCCTTGCAAATCTTGCCTTTCTCCAACTAAACCTTGTTGGTTTTGAAGAGGAAATTGGGGCACTTTCTTCCTGTAATCTTTCCACTTCATTGGCTGTCCTGGTTGTCATAAGTCTTAGAACTACTGACGGCTAGATGATAGTAGGTAAAGAGATACGAATGGCCCTGTTTCCTGAAAAGAACACATTCGTTAACTATTGTCCAAGTCAGTGGTAAAACTATGCCATTAACTTCAGGAGCTCCTGGGGCCATTTACTTGCAGAATTCCCCCAGGCCAGATCTTAGAAGTAGAAGAACTGCTTCACATTAGTAACTCTGAAGCTAAAAGCAATTGAAAAACTACTTTCATGTATTCTTGCAAATCCATTTACCTCAATATGTCATGAACATGCCTTTCAACTAATGCCACATTTATTCCCTTTGAAAAACTAAGTTTTGTTGGGAAAGTGCCTGTGTGAATAAAACTGCTATTCCTTGTTTTCTTGCTGTCTTAATGTAAAAATAGTGATCTTTGAGGTCTATGTGGTCAAACTGGCATACACTGAGTGCCCAAATCACGCCATCTGACTCACTCCAAGGCAGCTGGCAGACACTCAACTCCTGACTGAGGGGAATCCACACTGGGTTCCCTGTGTGTGATCTGTACATGCTAAACTCATACAGAGCCCAAGAGAAGGCTGCGATACTGGAAGGAGACCTTCAGAAAGCATTGGTAAATTCTTCATGGTTAATAAATGTTCCCAGAGGGGCCAGCACTGTGGCGTAACGGGTAAAGCCACCACCTGCAGTGCCAGCATCTCATATGGGCGCCAGTTCGAGTCCCAGCTGCTCTACTTCCCATCCCGCTCTCTGCTAAGGCATGGGAAAGCATAGAAGATGGTCCAAGTCCTTGTGTCCCTGCACCCACGTGGGAGACCCAGAAGAAGCTCCTGGCTCCTGGCTTCGGGTCGGCACAGCTGTGGCCAACTGAGGAGCAAACCAGCAGATAGAGGACCTCTCTCTTTCTCTCTCTCTCTCTCTCTCTCTCTCTCTCTCTCTCTCTCCCTCTCTCTGCCTCTTTTTCTCTGTGTAACTCTGACATTCAAATAAATAAATCAACCTTTAAAAAAAATCACTGCTAGTTCCAGTCTCAGTGGCATGTGGTAGGCTTCTTTAGGTTCTCCATAAGGCCGAACACGTGGCACAGAATCACCCAAACTATTACTGCATTCCGGCAGGGATGAGCTTTGCTGAATGTTTATTCATAGTATTTGACATTTGTTAGCTGTTTATGGGATGGAATAAGGAAAATTAGAGTGGATTAAATTCAGGTTTTTGTGCTTGAATCCTAGCCATGGTGTTAACTTAAATGCATTTTGAAAGGTTACTTAAATTACTGCTTTGAAAGAAATGAGGAAAGCAGCTCGATTAACATCATCTATCTAAAGCACACAGCCTTGTGTGGGGCACCACCAAAGAGAGTTTAATAGACAACATTTCTGCCTTTCATTTTATGGGACTCATAAATTGGGAAATGTGGCACAGCAATATAGCAAAGAGAAAAAAAGACAGAAATTATCAAATGAATCAATAGATTTATGTAAACCATAGTGAAAACCATTTTTATTGATGGCATTGAAAGACAAAACTACCTGTAGGGGCAGGCATCATGGCACAGTGAGTTAAGCCACCACTTTGGACACTCACAGCCTCTATCATAAGTGTCTGGAATCGAAACCTGGCTACTTCACTTCTGATCCAGCTTCCTGCTAATGTGCCTTGAGTACTTGGGTTCCTGCCACCGACATGGGAGAACAGGGTGAAGTTCTTCGGTCTTGGCTTCAGCCTGACCTAGCCTTGGCTATTGCCAGCGTTTGGGGATTGAACAAGTAAATCCAAGATCTCTCTCTCTTTGACATTCATATAAATAAATCTTTAAAAAAAAACCTACCCTTCATCTTATAATCTAAAAGTATAGGCTCTGAATTACATAGCCATGAACATTTAGAGGAACTTGAGTTCTCCATTAATGGATGACCCAATACTGTATATACTAAGTATGTGTGAAACCTTATTTACATTGTGTTACAGTAAAGAGTACACGCATTTTTAGAGCAGAAGCTCTGAATTAATGGGCCATTTCTGGAAGGTTGTATTTAGACAATAATATGTTAAAAAAGAAAGCAATGAAAATATCTTTGTATTTTTATAAGCTGATGTTTGCCAAGAGAAAAATATTTGGGGAAAAAAGGCAAAGAGACTAAAACAGAACTAGTCTCATTGTGGAAGGGAATAGCCCAACAGTATAAAAATAGTAGAAAAAAAAAAGCACTTCCTAACATGTTATATCTTCTTTTTAAAGATTTACTTATTCATCTGAAAGATGTAATTACAGAGAGGCAGAGGCAGAGGCAGAGACAGAGAGAGAGGTCTTCTATCTGCTGTTTCACTCTCCAGATGGCTGCAATGGCTGGAGCTATGCCAATCTGAAGCTAGGAGCCAGGAGCCTCTTCCAGTTCTCCCCTGTGGGTGCAGGGACCAAAGGACTTGGGCCATCTTCTATTGCTTTTCCAGGCTATAGCAGAGAGCTGGATCTCGACCCGATGCCCATATGGGATGCAGGTGACAGCTTCACCCACTATGCCACAGCACTAACCCCATGTTATATTTCCTTAGGGCAGAGTGTAGATGTCTTAAATTTTGTGTAGATGGTATTTTTCTCAGATTATTAATAAACTTCATCCTACTGACTTTTCTCTTTGACCCTGATGCAGCAAGTAGAAATCCACTTAACTCAAATGTATGATTGTAGCTTTGCATTGCTTATAAAATGCATAATTGCATGGGGCCAGCACTGTGGCACAGCAGGTTAGCCACCATGTGCAATGCTGGCACCCCCTATTGGACCACCAGTTCAGGTCCCAGCTGCTACACTGCTGATCCAGCTTTCCACTAATGTGTCTGGGAAGCTTCCTGCCAATGTGCGAATGATGGCCCAAATGGAGGTCACTGCCACCCACATGGGAGACCCAGATGGAGTTCCTCGTTCCTGGCTTCAGCCTGGCCCAGCATTGGGTGTTGCAGGCATTTGAGGAATGAACCAGCAGATGGAAGAGTGTGTGTTCACTCTCTCTCCCTCTCTTCCTCCCTCTGTCTTTCAAATAAATGAATCAATAAATCTTCAAATAAATACACAAGAATATTTATATATCTATAATTCCAGTTATAGCCTAAGCATCATAAAATAAATCCCAGTAAAACATGTGCTTCAGCATGAATTAAATACCCACCATAACAATAGCTGAGAAATTCTACCCAACCTGGCTACAGAGAAACCATGTCTACTGCCCTTTTGGGAATTCTCTAATGCTTGCATTGCCAAGGCCGCTGCTTGTTTGATTGGATTAACTCTGGACGACAGCAGAGCAAAGTCAAAAGCTGATAGGCTCCAACTCAGGTAGACCAAGGTTCAAATCTTAGCCTGGCTGCTTATTAGTGAGACCTTACCCAAGTGACTGAAACTTCTTGGGCTCAATTTCCCTCATCCAAAAATGGGAATACTACTTCCATCCTGGAGGTTGTGGACAACTTGTGTGAGATACCTGGAGTGAAGTAGCTTCTCAATTAATGAGCGCCTTCAAGTTCAGAGCAGCTTGTCCTGAGTTAGGCTGCTGTGATGGCTTCCCTGTGGCACTGAATTATGTATGCTGTTCATATAGGGTCTTAGCAAGCAAACCTCTCTGTGCCATGTGGCTATGGTTTGATCCAAGCAGGTGCCTGCTTTGGGACACCATGACTTTGCTGCTAGGTGAACAAATTCACACCTTCACTCTGGTGGCCTGATTCTTTGATATTAACAAATTCTCTGCAGATGCTGAGATTTCTGTGGTTCTCCACACCTCCCCTCTCTCTTACCCTCAAACAAAACACAACCTCCCCAAATAGGTAGAAGGCATAATACCATACTCTGTATAATCCTAGGCCCAGGACATCAGGCTTTGGTTTTTATATGATAGATAAATTATTAACACATGCAATAAGTGGAACATAGACATAATCGTATGTCTTGTTATCTAGTGTTGTTTAGCATTCCCTAGGCCACACTTGGAGAACATCTGTGTCCACTAACATGTCAAGAGCCTTCCCAGGGGCCGGTGCCATGGCTCACTTGGTTAATCCTCCACCCGTGGTGCTGGCAAACCACATGGGCACCGGTTCTAGTCCCGGTTACTCCTCTTCCAGTCCAGCTCTCTGCTGTGGCCCAGGAAGGCAGTGGAGGACGGCCCAAGTGCTTGGGCCCCTGCACCCCCATGGGAGACTGGGAGGAAGCACCTGGCTCCTGGCTTCGGATCAGCGCAGCACCAGCCATAGCTGCCATTTGGGGAGTGAACCAACAGAAGGAAGACCTTTCTGTCTGTCTGTCTCTCTCTCTCTTTCTCACTGTCTATAACTCTAACTGTCAAATAAAAAAAAAATTTAAAAAAAGAGCCTTCCCAGAATCTCCCATATGTTTCTTTATTCTTGGCTTTATCCCCCATTTGCAAATTCCGCACAGTTCTAGTACAAGACATTGTGGGTTATACAACCCAGTAATGATTTGCCAATAGAAGATAATATTCTAGGACTTCCTTGATCTCATAAATCTTGGATACATTCTTTCTTTTTTTAAAGATTATTTAAAATGTTGCAACACCTGGGCCAGACTGAAGTCAATAGCCAGGAACTCCATCTGGGTCTCCCTCATGAATGGCAGGAACCTAAATACTTGGGCCATCTTCTGCTGCCTTCCAGGTGCCATAGTGGGAAGCTACATTGGAAGCAGAGGATCTAGGACTCAAATAGGCTCTCTGATAGGGGATGCAGGTGTCCCACACTGGGGTTTGACCTGCTGCATCAAGAATAAATACTTTAGATTTAGCCCTTTACAATGTCTTTGTTTTGGGGGTGGTGGGTACTTGTCACAGTGATTAATAAGACACCACCTCCCATATCAGACTGTGTGGGTTTGAGACTCAGCTCCACTCCCAACTCTAATTACCTGCTATTGTGTTACCTAGGAGGCAGCAGGTGATGGCGCAAGCACTTTGAGCCCCTGCTACCTATGTCTGAAGACCCTATTAGCTTCCCAGCTCCTGGCTTCCATTTGACTCATTTGACTCAACCCTGTCTATTGTGGGCAATTGGGGAGTAGACCAGCAGATGGCAGATCTCTTTCTGTGTCTCTGTCTCTCTCTACTTTAAAATATATAGAATGTTTTTTGTTTTACTCTGGGCAACTCGGGAACAGTAAAGATACAGGATGTTGGCAAGAATTGGTTAAAATCTTGCAACTAACTGACAAGAAATACAGAAGCACTGTCACTCCCTCTTACAGATGTTTTTATTCCTTTAATTATCTCCCCACAGATGCATAGCTCATTTTGACTTTAACCGGTCGGGTTATGAATGGCACCTGCACCTGTTTTCATGCCCACTGGTTTACCTGCATAAATGGAATCACATCTAAGATGAAAGCAGTGCCTTCGAACCACAGCTTGTGATGAGCAAACGTGCAGGACCCCAGTGGCGGCCCCTGCTGAGGACACGTCCTTTCCTCCCCTGCTGTCCTCTAATCACCAACCACCTTGGGTCTGGGCTCCAGAAGCTTGGAGTCAACCTTATTTTTGTTGGAGAAAGATCTGATGGTGGAGGGTGTTATAAGCTCCAGAGAGAATTTGTAATCACCCCCCAACTCAAAGTGGAAGAAGCATACAAACCTTTCCTTTTGCAGTCCAGCGTTTGGATGGGAAACACGTAATTGTGACAAAGAGTCGAGTCCACCTCGGGCTTGGTGACGAGAGGTCTGCCGGCTACTTGGGATTTCGGGTCCAGCTGTTCCTTTTCCTCTTCATCGCATAACTGTTCGGATCTTATCTGCAGCAGTTTTTTATTTTTCAGTTCCTGGGGGCTTTCACACTTGGCGTAGTTCCCCAAGTTCCGGTTCCTGGGAATCTGCAACATCGAAACGAGCGTTTCTATCTCGCAGGTGCAGTGCCAGGGGTTGTCGTACAGACGAAGGTAGCTCAGGAGCGGCGTGTAAATGAAGACCTCCTCAGTCAGGACCTTGATCTGGTTGTGCTGCAGTAAGAGGGTGGTGAGTTTGTTTAAGCCAAAGAACGCCTCACTCTCAATCTTGGAGATCTCATTCTGCTGCAGATCCAGGCTTCTCAGCTTCCTGAACTTGGAGAACATGTTGTTCTTCAATACCCGGATCTTGTTTCTGGCTAGCAGCATGTGCAGCAGATCCTGAGGCCAGCCAGGTAGCACATAGACTAGTTTTCTTTCTTGACAGTCCAAGTATTTCTCATGGAGATACGTGTACACGTCACAGGGGAGGCCTGGCGCATAGCGTCTGACCAGGCTGGAGGCGCGCCGGCCCCCACCTGCCCGGCCAGGAGTGGCCCGGCTTCTGGCCCCGCCGCTGGGGCCTGCCTTGCGCAGCGCAGCCGCTTTGCAAAGGCAGAGCAGGATTACAATGGTGACCACGCGCATCCTGTCATCCAGCTGGCTGCAACTCCTTGCTGTGACAGATGGAGCAGTATTCCTTTGAAATCTGCGTTTGGTCAATCTTAACTAACGTAGTTCAGGAACAGTGGGACCCAACTGGGTTCCGTGGAAGTCCTAGGTTAAAACAGAGAAAAAAAAATACGTATTGGCAGTTAAGGACCACTGCAGGCACTTTGTTATTCATGGGAAACATCAGCCTTTCTTTAAGAGAAGCCCTCCTGGTTAACAAATGCACCCCAGAGCCCCTGCTCCAACTTGCCTGGTTTAGTGGCCAATTATTTGGGCCCTGAATTTGAATCAAGGCTCTCCTACCTACTTAGCCATGTAACCCAGGTCAGTTATTGAACCTCATCTTTGGCATCTATTAAATTGGGACCAATTTATTGGGCCTCCTAATACTGTTGCGAGGATGAGGTGGCTCATGCATGTCAGGAATGTCACAGTGTCTGGACTGGAGAGAGTAGACGGCACAATGGAAGCAGAAGCCTGGAATTCATCGTCACGTTGGATCTAAGACACTTAAAGAATTCTCCCTATAGGCCTGGCATGTGCTGGAGTGGCTGTGTCCAGAGCTTATTTTTGTCTCTCCTTTACTGCCTCCCAGTCATCAACCACATTGAGGACGGACTCTGGAAACTCTAGGGAGAAGGTGGCTCTGTCCTTGTATCTCCTGTGTGTCTTGACTCCAATGACCCCCTCTAAGCGAAGACTTCTCTGTGGGCCTATTGAGCCTCACACTCCCTCCAGATCCCCGTGTTCTCCATGTTCCCATCCCTGTGCTGGTTTGATTTTCCTCCATAGCGCTCTTCACCACTGTCACAGTAGATATTTTACTTCGTTTATCTGCCTTCCTTGATTAGAAACTGAACTCTGCAAGGGTGAAGGTGTGTATCTGTTTTGTTCACTGCCATATTTCCTGGACAAATGTTTGCTGAATGTATGAAATACCCTCAAACAACTATTCTGTAAGAACATGTACCTCAAAAACTAATTTTGGCTAGCACTGTGCTGTAGTGGGCTAAGCCTTTGCCTGTGGTGCCAGCACCCCATATGGGCACCAGTTCGAGTCCCGGCTGCTTCTCTTCTGATCCAGCTCTCTGCTATGGCCTGGAAAAACAGTAGAAGATGGCCCAAGTGTTGGGCCCTTGCACCTACGTGGAAGACCAGGAAGAAGCTCCTGGCTCCTGGCTTTGAATTGGCACACCTCTGGGTGTTGTGGCCATTTGGGGAGTGACCAGCAGGTGGAAGACCTCTCTCTCTTTCTCTTTCTCTCCCTGTCTGTAATGCTACCTCTCAAACAAACAAATAAAATCTTAAAAAAAAAAAAAACTCATGTTGGGAATCTGTTCTTGCCTTTATCAGCAATGACTTTCAAGACCTGTACATTTTTAAGGATTGTTTTCAATTTTTTTCCAACTCTGGAAACTACTTCTGGTTTGCATTCATTACTGAGAACGTGTCTACTCTTGGAAAAGATAGAAGTATTCCAAGTGGATTTATAAGTAATAACAGGTCTGTTATTACTAGCGTGGGGCTGTGATGAGCTGCACATGTGCTTTCTGTTTGTGGTAGCGCTTTGAAGGCCAGCCACACCCCCTGGCCTGGAGTTGTCCTGCTTGGTGGGGTCTCCTCCACCTAGAAGGCCTTCCCCTCTCTTTGCCTCAAGATTGTCGCCCTTCGACTGGTGTGTCCTCTCCAAGCTGCATCCAGAGACCTCAATGATTGGGTAACACTTTGCCTTCTGGATAGTGGCCTCTGGTCCCAAAGCTCATCAGGTACTTAGCTTTTTCCACTTTTGTGTTTGCAGTTCTTTGTAAATTAAATGTAACTCTAACCTAAAAAATCATAGCAGGAGTGGGCATTTAACAACATCAGTGTTCCACATCCAAGTGCCTGGGCTCCCAGCTTCATGTTAATGCAGACCGTGAGAAGCAGCAGGGATGGCTCAAGTCATTGAGTTCCTGTTAGCACTTGGAGACCTGGATTGTGTTCCCAGCTCCTGACTTGAGCTTTTGCTCTGCCCTGGCATTCCCAGGCATTGGGGGAGTGAGTCAGCAAATGGGAGTGCTCATGTACTCTCTGTCTCTCTATGCCTTTCAAATACATAAATAATTTAAAAATCATAACATTTTGTCTATTATTATTATGCATGTTGAATTATTTATGATATGTATACTGTAGTATTTGGGTATACCATTGTTTGCAACTTGCTTTGCAATGCATAAAAAAATAAGATGAATTGAGGGATGTTTAAAGAGATTTGTAGATAGGTGAATAGGTCATAAGGGAAATATATAATTAGAATCTGGGTGGTGGGCATATAGGCATTCACTGTGCATTTTTTTCAACTTTCCGTGTCTGAGAAGTTTCATAATAAAATAATAAAAGAAACCAAACAGAACAAAATAGGTATGCACAGACACAAAAAATAAAAAATGGGTTGGGATGGTCATTGTGTCTCTATAGGTTAAGCCTCCAGTTGGATCAGCTGCATTCTGTATTGGAGTCCCAGCTACTCTGCTTCCAATCTAGCTTCCTGCTAATGCACAGTCTAAGAGGCAGCAGGTGATAGCTCAATTACTTGGCTCACTGCCACCCACATGGAAGACCAGATAGAGTTCCTGGCTCCTGGCTTTGCCCTGGTCCAGCCCTAACTGTTGTGAGCATTCTCTCTCTCTCTCCCTCTCTCTCGCTCTCCCTTTCTCTCTCTTTTCAGTTTTCAACTAAATGAAAAATAAAATTGGGGATGGTGTTTTGGCATAGCTGGTAAAGCTGCTGCTTCCAATGCCAGCATCTCAGCTGGTTCGTGTCCCAGCTGTTCCAGTTCCAACCCAGCTCCCTGCTAATGGCCTGGGAAAAGCAGCAGAAGATGGCCCAAGTGCTTGGACCCTTGCACTCACGTGGGAGGCCCAGAAGAAACTCCTGATCCCTGGCTTCAGCCTGGCCAAGCCCTGGCTATTACGGCCACCTTGGGGGTGAACCAGTGGATGGAAGAATGGAAGATCTCCTGCTGTCTGTTCTGTCTCTCTCTATATTTCAGACTTTCAAAAGAAATGAATAAATTTTAAAATAAAATAAAACTTAAAAAATAAAGAATGGATTTTTTTTTACAAAAAAAAAATGGAGATTTGTTTTCTTCAAGTGCTTCCAAGTTAAAAGTTCTAAGTTCCAAACTAAAAACACTAATAATATAGTGTTTTTTGCAAAGTAATATTTTTCTCCTTGGCCCTTCCTCCAATAATCTTTAAACAGTAATAAACATGTGTATATATTTTAATTGTGAGTCCAAAAGAAATCATTTTTGTGGGAAAATAAACCATATACTTGGAATATGTTATCTGCCAATGTATTTGTGTATTTTCTAATACATACATCACATTGAACGTAGGATTGAAAGAGTTTTAAGTTGGAACGCCTGTGCTGTGTTGTTCAGTGATGTGAAACTTGTTTGATTTAGGCCACTGTAGAAACTTGCAGGAGCTGAACGTCTCTGACTGCTCAACACTCACAGTGAGTATCAGCGGCTTAGGTACTGTTGTTGATGTAGATTCAGACTTGTCGCCTTGCCCTCTGTGTGCTCGGTCAGTATCCGATGTGTAAAAAAAAAGGCAAACTATGTAAAGGATTGGCAAGAAATTTTATCCATCTGTACAAAGCTGTTACTAATCTGTTGAACTCTTTACCTAGAATAGAGATAGTCTTCTGTGTATAAAACTAATTGAAAATAGATCTTAGTAAAAAATAAGACTGGGAATAGGAGAAGGAAGAGGAGGAAGGGTGTGAGTGTGGGTTGGGAGGGTGAGTATGGTGGGAAGAATCACTGTGTTCCTGAAGTTGTATTTATGAAATGCATACAAATAAATAAATAATAAATAAAAAAGAATATATTAAGGAAAAATAAACTAATCTGTAAATAGATGCCCAGCATTGGAGCCTCTGACGAGGGGGAACTCTTTGACGAGTCTACAGCAATGAACTGTATTTATGTTGAATGGGTGTGTGTGTCTAAGACAGAAAAAAATTGGCTCAAGCACAGATAATAGGTTGATTTAGTAGTTTTCAGGGCGATCAACAGCCATGCCAAAGAAAACAGGAAGGAACATGTATCCCCAGTGATCTCCTTCCTGGACCCCGTCAGTCACTGGTCCTTCCCGCAGCCCCCAGCCCATCTCCCACCCTGTGAATACTCTTTTCTAAAAGGCAGATCTCATCTCTCCAGGCCCCTGTGCTGTCAACGACACACACTCCCATCATCTACACTGTTGGCAAAGTCAGAGCGCTTTACCATTGCTGTGCCTTGGAGGCTCTCTGTGGTCTTGTCTTTGCTGCCCTTGCCAGCCTCATTTTGGTCCAATTCCTGTGCACACATTAAGTTTCTGCCAGCACAACCAACCACAGCGGCTGAGCTGACTTTGCTGCATACACCCCATTGCTCCCCGCAGTTTTGTGTTTGCTCTCAGCATGCTTTTTACTTGGAATACCCTTTCTCTTTGTCCTCAGGCAGTGCTTTCCTCATTGTCAAGCTTTAAGACTTATTTCCATGTCACCGACTCCCAGGTCTGGGTTCACTGCTACTCCTCTGGGTTCCACTAATAAGCAATAAGAAACACCATAGTGTTTCTGCCTCCTCCACTAATCCTATGGACCCAAGGGACAGGAGATGTGTGTGTCTTGTTCTTTGTAGTAGTCATAACACACAGTCCAGACATTGGCATCTAGCAAGTGTTCAGTAATGTCCACCGAATGTAGCTATGCAGAGATGCCTGGTAGGATATGGGCAACATTGGCTAAAACTTTGACATTCCATCTTGGGTTGCATGTATTGAATAAGTCATAACTTGCCCATGGAGATATCCACAGAGAGTCTCTTCTTCTCTCTGACACTTTGCCTTTCAAACAAATAAAAATAAATGACATGAGGAAAAAAGGAGTGTTGAAAATGGAGCAGTATTACAAAATGCAAGAGAGTAAGGAGTTTAAGAAGTGGCCTAAGTGAGCAGGTAGGGAAAGAATTGAGTGGCACCTCCTGGTTTGGAGAATTTGAAGTTGACTTTTTAAGAACAGTTTCGGGGGGAATTGTGAAAGTGGGCAAGAGGGGAGAAAGAGAGGCATTAGGCATAAACTGATCTTTCCAGAAACGTGGCTAAGAGGGTAGAAGAAGGAAAACAGGGACAGGAATATGGAAACAGGATTGATAGAAGCTGATGGCGATTCAGTTGAAATAATGAATGCAGCCGGTCTTGAAGGAGCTAGGAGAGGCTGGAATGAAGAGCCTGCCTGCCTGCCTGCTGACCCTTGTTGGCACCAGCTCCCCTGGCCTGGGGCACAGGACCTCCCGAATTGGCCTCTCCCCACCTCCAGCCTGTCTTTGTAGTCTTCTCTTTCCAGTTTCTACTGATTCAGCTCTGAACTCTTGGAGTTCCCTGAACGTGTCGTGCTATTTCACTGTGTCATTGAACTGGTTTTTCTGTCTGCCTGATTCTTTTCTTCCTTACCACCTCCAACCCAACCTGGCTGGCACTGTTTCATTCTTTAACACACTCTTCAACACCATAGGGTATTTCCACTCACTTCTTTTACCCACTGACTTTTTTTTTTTTTAAAGATTTATTTTATTTAATTGAAAGACAGTTACAGAGAAAGGTAGAGACATTAGCAGGGAGCTGGATCGGAAGTGGAGCGCTGGGACTCAAAACAGTGCCTCCCATATGTTATTCTGGTGCTGCAGGCCAGGGCTTTAACCTGCTGCATCACAGTGCCAGTCTCCCCACCCTGAGCCCCCCCTGCACTGACCTTATAAACCAGCTTTATCAGAGCCAGTGCCAACATCTCATATGGGCACCGGTTTGATTCCTGACTGCTCCCCCTCTGACTCAGCTCCTTGCTAATGCACCTGGGAAGGCAACAGAGGATGATGGTTCAAGTGATTGGGCTCCTGCACCCACGTGAGAGACCTGGAAGAAGCTCCTGGCACAATGGCCTGGCACAGCTCTGGCCATTGCAGCCATGTGGAGAATGAGCCAGCGGATGGTAGATTTCTCTCTGTTCTCTTTCTCTCTATAATTCTGCCTTTCAAATAAATAAATCTTAAAAATAAAATAAAACCAGTTTTATCCCACTACAAATTAATTCTTATATAGATTGAAATCAAATGAATCCATTTAAAGTGTACATTTTAATGGATTTGGTATATTCACAGAGTTGTATGGTCATTACCATGATCAGGTTTAGAACACTTTTCAAACCCCAAAAGAACTGACATCTACTAACGGTCACCCCTCATTTTCTCCCAGCCCCCCCAGCCCTACACAATTCACTTTTGACGAAATTATTTTCCCTCTCCTGAGCTACATCTGTGTTCTCTCAATACTTCCCCATTTATATTTTCTGTTATGCTTATGTTTACATGTATAACCTTCTTTTTAAAAATGAGTGGGATTTTATAAAACGATTTATTGATTTATTTGAAAATAAGAATGTCAGAGGGAGGGAGGAGGAAGGGGAGGGAAGAGAGAGAGAGAGAGAGAGAGAGAAAGGAGATCTTCCCAAATGGCTGTAACATCCAGGGCTGTGCCAAGTTGAAACCAGGAGGTAGGAACTCCATCTGAGATCTCCCAGGCACATTAGCAATAAGCTGGATTGGAAGCAGAGCAGCCGGGACTCAAACTAGTACTCACATGAGATGCAGGCTTTGCAAGTAGGGGCTTAACCTGCTGCACCACAAGACTGATGCCTATATCTCCATTTTGGACCTGAGAGCTCATTGGAGACCTTCCTTTTGTAATGTTTTTCCATGTAATTCATCTTCTCTTTCTCACAATGAAACAGTTTTTTTTTTCCAAAAGATGGAAGATATTGTATAGATGATACAAATAATAAATAAAATAGATACATAAAGAAACGGGAACTCTACCACTCTTTATCTCAATGCACCAGGACATAGAGGACTGCTGGGGCCTGGGACCCTAAGCTGTTCTTCTATGGCTTCTACTTCCACGTAAGCAAACTGCTGCCTTATGTTCAAACGTGCCCTCAAGCGTAACCCACATGGAATCGAGGCATAGCGAGATACATCCAAGACCACATCAGGGAAAAAATACTCTCCTTTTTCTCTGCCTACAGTGTGAGCTTGGGCTCTTATGAGGGGAGGTTTCAAATCTTTGCCGCGACATTCCCTAGATGTCTGCTGGTGGTTATAGCAAGGCCTTTTGTAAAATGGATTTTTTCTTAATAGGGGCATTTTTAGCACCTACAACATTAAAGATAACCTGCTAGATTCAGAAGAAATTTTTAAATGAATAAATTTTAAGTTCTTGCCCCCAGGGAGCTTCAGTTCTGTATGTAAGTAGAAGATCAGAGTCCTTGAATTTGGCTTTTTAGCAGGAAAGTCGAAACAATGCCTTCTGCACTGAGTTTGTGAACATCAAAGTCTTGTCCAACTCTGGAGTCTAACAATAATGCAGGGTGGGTAATTTTATCCAGCTACAGTTTACTCTTGTTTTTTCCTTTGGAGACATAGACTGGAAAAAGGCTTGCATGTAAGGAATTGGGTAACGTTCATTCAAAGGACTTTACTTTCTAAGCTTGTCTTGTGAACTCCGTTACATTCAGAAGGATGTCATTGCATCGGGCACAAATTCATATGCCGTTCTGTGACGTAGGCACCCAAACAGTCTCTGCATTCATTCAGTCCCAAAATCAATCCCCCTGGTGCTCTTTAACACTGAGAACGGGAAGGTCTAGCTTGTCTGGTTGTCCACAAGCTCCTCCAGACTGGAGAATGGATCATGGCCCCATCTCCAAAGGAAAGTCGGATAAAGCATACTGCACATTCCCCGCCCGTTCCCCCACTGTCGTCTTCCCCGCGGCTGCCTCTCTGAGCCTATGGGAGCCAGCTTTGTCTCCTATCCCTTCCTCATCTCATTTGCATTTTCAACAAGTGCATAATCACTTTGCTATTTGATTGGCACACTGGACATTTCTGAAGACAGATGTGTCTACCTATTGTGGTCGTATTCACCAGTTTTCTCAGGAAATTGTACTTTATATTTTTTGTCTATCCACATGTTTCCAAATCTTACACCTTGGTGATGGATTCTAGAGCAATTGACCGCATCCTGAATGTGGTGGAAAAGCACAATGTTCATCAGGAGCCCTGCACTTGCCTTTGCACTTGGACTTGCACTCACGCAGCATTGGTGCCTAGAATCTGTCCCATAGCAGAACCAATAGGAATTTACGGCTCAAAACAGAAATGTGTGTTCTCTTTAAGGACAGTTTGCTGCTCCATAAATCAACCAGTTTCATTTTCAAGTGTAACAGAGGCTCCGACCTGCAGGTTTTTGTTATTTTTAGATATCCATGACTCTCAGAAATGGCTAGGATGGAATGTTAAACACTGGTGATTTGCTGGAAAAATAAAAACAATTTTGCCATCTTGAGTGCTGTCAGAGGGTGGCCCTGTGACCATGCCAACTTCTCCTGCAGACTACATGGCCTGGCCTGCGTCAGAGGTCCCCTAATGGCCCATTCTTTTTAGTATGGATGTAGTGACAAACATTGCAAGAACCACAAGTACTTAACACCGTCTGACCTGCTGCTGTTCCTTGGGAGATTCACTAACCATCATTAAATAAATAAGACCATGCTGTCACTCACTGTTTTCAACAGTTACCTAGAGAAGTAGCTCATTGTAATCAAACCTTGCAATTTATGTGGCCTGACGAATTTCAATTTAGAGCCCATGCTGGAAGCCACTTTTTCTTTGCACATACTCACTATTTTCTTATCTCACTTTCAACTCCTTGGGAGAAAGTCGCTTCAGTATTTGAAGATTCTCTCCAATCCTGTCACCAACTCTAAATTCGATGCTCATTCTGTAGGTAGTCTGTATTTTTACTTTTGCCTTCTCAAACTTATCAAAAGTTTGATGAAAATCTTTCTAGCTGTTTTAATATATTTAGTAACAGAATCACAGTAACTTAATTCACACACACACCTGCATATAATTATATGTGTGTAAATATGGATTCATTTTTAATGAAGTCCAGTTGTTTGAAAGCATTTTCTATTGCTGTCTTTCAGAAAATAACTGTAGGAAGTTTTTTTTTACTTTAATGCTTTTCCAAGTTTTAAAATGGATCCACTTTTTAAATCCCTATTCTGCATCTGCAGTGTCAGGGTGTCTGGAGGTCAAATTTCCCACCGCAGAGTTGAACTTGCAGAGTTTCACAGTGTAAGAAGTGTCCTAGTGAAGGAATGGAACTTGATTTCCAAAAAATTGAGGGGGAAAGTGGAATAAGAAAACTTCAAGCAAAACCATTTGCTATTTAATTTGATTTCAACCAATATCAAAGGTCCACTCATGTGTATTTTTTTCTGGGTCAGGGAGATAATGGGGAAGCTGCAAAGGCTGTTAGAGTTTGTTAAGATTCCTCCCCCTGTTTTCTCATGCAGGACGAGCTGATGAGGTACATTTCTGAGGGCTGCCCTGGGGTCCTGTACCTCAATCTGTCGAACACAACCATCACCAATAGGACCATGCGACTCCTGCCAAGGTAATGTGTATGTGACTTTTTCTTTTTAAAGATTTATCTGTTTTACTTGAAAGTCACAGTTACACAGAGAGAGGAGAGGCAGAGAGAGAGAGAGAGAGAGAGAGAGAGAGAGAGAGGTCTTCCATCCGCTGGTTCACTCCCCAACTGGCCGCAATGGCCGGAGCTGTGCTGATCTGAAGCCAGGAGCCAGGAGCTTCTTCCTGGTCTCCCATGTGGGTGCAGGGTCCCAAGGACTTGGGCCATCTTCTACTGCTTTCCCAGGCCACAGCAGAGAGCTGGATCAGAAGTGGAGCAGCCGGGTTTCGAACCAGGGCTCATATGGGATGCCGGCACTGCAGGCGGTGGCTTTACCTGCTACGCCACAGTGCTGGCCCATGTATGTGTGATTTGTATCACGCTGAAAATGCTTATGCTCCGTGTGGCTCTGGCTTGCTCTGGCATTCCCCAGCAGCAGTGCCAGCATGCCTCCACTGTGGCCCCCTTGTCCTGATGACAGAATCACTGCTTTCAAGTCCCCAAACTGATGTCTGCACTCTCCCCACGTGGCAGGCCCAGGAGACAGTTGGTCTTCTACCTTGGCTGGTGTTTCTGTTACTCTTGTAGCAATGTCCAGTAGCTTGAGTTGGACCTGGCCTCTCTCTCTCTCTCTCTCTCTCTATCTAGTCCCCCTTCCTGGGCATTGGAACATGATCCCTAAATGCCAGTCTGGTGCGTGGGACCTCTTACAAGAGAACCCCAACTTCCTGCCCCCCTAGGCTTTGAGCTCTGCCATCCAGACTCCTTGCTGCCATGTTCTGTGTATACACAGCGAGCAATCTGGACACAGATGTTGCTTCTCCTCAGCACTCCTTCAGAGAAGGGACGGAAGAATACAAGAGTTGGCTGAATATTAAAATTCTTCCCATATTTCTGTTGTTCAATTAGTCTTTAGTTTCAATATGGGAAGACCAATGAGGAAGAATATATGATCATGATGGGAGATAATCAAAAGTTGACTTTGGGAAAACATTTCTCAAACTGTTGTGAAAGAAGAGCTATTTTTGAGAATACAATTTTATGATTTTTTTTTTAAAAAAAACCAGACATTTGGAAAAGTTTAAGTAGAGAATATTCTTGGGTGGTAATTTTATCTTGTGACTCTAACCATTTTCTGCAAATGAGCAAGTCTAAAAAAAGTGACCCCATAGTTTCTGTTTACTCCATTAATTGAGCTGCTGGATTTTATTTCATTAAATTTATCAAGATTTCTTCTGATAGCTTTAAATATGGAAAGTCTTGGGCAGGCACTGCGGTACAGCAGGTTAAGCGGTCACTTGGGATGCCTGTATCTCCTACTGGAGTGTCTGGGATCGAGTCCCCCTGCTTCTGATACAGCTGCCGGCTAGTGCCCCTTCAAGGCATTAGATGATGGCTCTGTTGTGTGGGAGATCCAATCAGAGTTCCTGCTTCCTGGATTCTGCCTGGCCATCTCCAGCTATTGTGGGCATGCAAAGAGTGAACCAGCAGATGGAAGATCTCTTTCTCCCTCTCTCCCTCTTTCTGTCACTCTTTCAATTATGTAAATAAGTTGGTAACTAAATAGATTTAATATTCATTTACTTATTTTTCTTATATGGTTTTTAAAATTCAAATATGTATATATAATCAATCTAGAATTTACTTTGGTAAATGAACAAAGCAATGATCTAAACCAGGGGTTAACAAACTATGACTTAGGGGCTCCAAGTCCTGTTTTTGTGCAGTCCATATGCTAAGAACAGCTGCAGAATTCAAATGTTATTAAATACTTGTAGCTAACCAATTATTCCAGCATCATTTATTGAATAAAATAATAAAATAAGCCTTTTATCAATATATAACTCTTTTATCAAGTGAGGTGTGATTCCTCCTAATTTATCTAAAATTCTTACACAGAAAATAAATACTTAAAACCCATCACTTTCTAGTATATTTCTATGTGTTAACTTCATCCATGTTCTTGAGGATGTTTTTGTCTACTGTATCCCTCGGGTGAAAAATGCTACAGAATGGTGAGCCACTGCTGCTCGTCTCTCCTTGCTCTGTGTGCACCAACCTCTCAGTGGTACCTGGGGTTAGCAGATCTAAGAATGTTCTACACCACAGAAAATGACAAACACTAACAAATCAAGGCTTGAATTTTTTTTGTTTCATTGATTGTTCAGACTTGAGAAAGTGAAAATTTAAGCAGTTTAAAAGTGTGTCACATCTATAGCTATTCACATCCTTGTGAATAGTAGAAAAAAATTGTGGAACTACTCTGACTACTTGAAAACTATTTTTGGAGTACTCAAACAGTATTTTACACTTTATGTTCTGTGTGGGTGCAAACTGATGAAATCTTTACTTAATATATACTAAATTGATCTTCTGTATATAAAGAGAATTGAAAATGAATCTTGATGTGAATGGAATGGGAGAGGGAGCGGGAGATGGGAGGGTTGGGGGTGGGAGAGAAGTTATGGAGGGAAAAAGCCATTGTAATCCATAAACAGTACTTTGGAAATTTATATTTACTAAATAAAAGTTAAAAAAAAAAACAAAAAACCCTATTTTTGGGTCCAACGGAGAAGACACTTCATTGATGAATGAGTGAAGTCTGGACATACTGACTTTGCTATTTTACTTTTGTCTTAGTAATGTAAATGAAACGGTTCATATGGGAACTATACTCAGTCTTTAATTGCAACTATTGGTTGGCTAGCTACATTTATAAGAGTTTCATTGGCAGAAGCCAATGGAAATGTGTGAAAATTAATTGGCTGTATGGAATTCACAAGATCAGAGTTGTGTACTTTATTATTGTATGTAAGTTGTATGTTACACATTCTTCATAACACAATAATTATAAAAATAGTAAAATATAAAATTTTCAGTGAACTTAAATATTTTATATGCATATGTATTTTATTTACTTATTTATTTGAAAGGCAGAGTGACAGAGAGAGAGAGAGCTAGAGAGTGAAAGAGAGAGAGACATAGAGACAGAAAGAGACAGAGAATCTTCTATCCACTAGTTGGTTTTCCAAATGCCTGCAGAATCCTAGCTGAGTCAGGAGCTGAGAACCCAACCTGGGTCTATCGTGTTACTGGCAGGAACCCAAGTATTTGGACCATTATCTGCGTAGTAGGAGCACTAGCTGGAAGCTGGATCAGGAGTGGAGGAGCTGGGCTGGCACCAGGCACTCAATATGGGATGCAGGTATCCGAAGCAGTGGCTTAACCTGCTGTACCACAATGCTTCCCCTACTTTTTTTTTGAGAGCTAATTATTAGTTATTTATCACTATACCACTAAATAACCATGGAAGAAACTAGGAATTAATTTATTTTTTACAATGTTCCATCTATCACAAATATAATATACTTATAAAAATATTTTGCAGAGGTCTTAAATCTCAATAAAATATTGTTTTAGTTCACGTTGATCTTTTTTCATGAAAGTTATTCCTGTTTATCTTTTTTTTTTAAGATTTATTTATTTATCTGAAAGGCAGAGTTAGAGGAGAGACAGAGAGATCGTCCATCTGCTGGTTCATTCCCAAATGGCCTCAACAGCCAGGGCTGGGCCAGGCTGAAGTCGGGAGCCAGGAGCTTCTCCTAGGTCTCCCACATTGGTGACAGGGGCGTAAGCCCTTGGGCCATCCTCCACTGCTTTCCCAGGCCATTAGCAGGGAGCTAGATCAGAAGTGGAGCAGTTGGGACTCGAACGAGCACCCATATGGGATGTCAGTGCCACAGGCGGAGGCTTAGCCTACTATACCACAGCACCAGCCTCCCTAGGTATCTTTCTAATTATTTTTGTGAATGGTATCTTTTCTGATTCTGTTTTCTCATTATATTTTCTAAATGGTCATTTTTAGTCTTGGGTATGAAGGTTGGATATCTTTAAAAAACTTTCCTCTGAATAATTGACTTCTTTCCTTTTACTTATTTATTTATTTATTTATTTTATTTTTTGACAGGCAGAGTGGACAGTGAGAGAGAGAGACAGAGAGAAAAGTCTTCCTTTTGCCGTTGGTTCACCTTCCAATGGCCGCAGCCAGGAGCCAGGTGCTTTTCCTGGTCTCCCATGGGGTGCAGGGCCCAAGCACCTGGGCCATCCTCCACTGCACTCCCTGGCCACAGCAGAGAGCTGGCCTGGAAGAGGGGCAACCGGGACAGAATCTGGCGCCCCAACCGGGACTAGAACCTGGTGTGCCGGCGCTGCTAGGAGGAGGATTAGCCTAGTGAGCCGCGACGCCAGCCTTCTTTCCTTTTAAAAGGAAACATTGGGGACTGTGAAATTACTTCTAAATAAGAATTTGGGTAAAACTTGTAAGGTTTGATAAGTATTATTTTCATTTTCTAAGCGAAGTATTCAGTTTGTGCTCCTCTCTGACCTAACAATTATTCAGAGGTGAAGTTTTGTTTCTAAGTGGCTTAAACTTCTTTGATTAAATTTCTGCTTTTAATTATTCATTGTGATTCAGAAACGTAGACTGAATCATTTCTGCTTTTTAGAAGGTATTGAGATTTTTTTGGTTGATTTTATGGTTTCACCAAATCATGCATGAATGTCTAAAATAGAGTGTTTCTTTCAGAGGGCAAAATTTGTTTGTACGTATGCATATAAATTCTCAAAGCTTCATAGTATAAAAATGATATGTGGACCACCTACTATAATTAAAGTTGGCTGAATTTATTTTTGTGTTATTTTATACGTAAAGATTAGTAAGTATGTTTCATTATAGGTGATAACTCTTATTCACATAAAATGATAGTCCTTATCCCAGTTGAAATTTCTTTACCTTGAATTCTTTTTTCTCTATTATTAAAACCTTTGTTTTCTTTTCCTTGTGTGTGTGTGTGTTTAATATTTATTTACTTATTTGAAAAGCAGAGATACAGAGGGAAAGAGAGGGATGGAAAGAGATCTTCTATCTGTTGGTTCATTCCCCAAATGGCTGTAATAGTCAGGATTTGGCCAGGCTGAAGCCAGGA